CCTGCCTATGCAGGGGGTCAGACTCGATGATCTCAAGCAAATCCCGGGACGTCTGGCTTGCATCCATAGATGCTTCTCAAGCAAATCCCGGGACGTCATTCTCCCCCTGTACTCGGCCTTAGTGAGGCCGCAGCTGGAGTACTGTGTCCAGTTTTGGGCTCCACAATTCAAAAAGGATGTGGAGAAGCTTGAGAGAGTCCAGAGAAGAGCCACGCGCATGATCAGAGATCAGGGAAGCAGACCCTACGATGACAGGCTGAGAGCCCTGGGGCTCTTTAGCCTGAAAAAGCACAGGCTCAGGGGTGATCTGATGGCCACCTACAAGTTTATCAGGGGTGACCACCAGCATCTGGGGGAACGTTTGTTCACCAGAGCGCCCCAAGGGATGACGAGGTCAAATGGTCACAAACTACTTCAAGATCGTTTCAGGCTGGACATAAGGAAGAATTTCTTTACTGTCCGAGCCCCCAAGGTCTGGAACAGCCTGCCACCGGAGGTGGTTCAAGCGCCTTCATTGAACACCTTCAAGATGAAACTGGATGCTTATCTTGCTGGGATCCTCTGACCCCAGCTGACTTCCTGCCCTTTGGGCAGGGGGCTGGACTCGATGATCTTCCGAGGTCCCTTCCAGCCCTGATGTCTATGAAATCTATGAAATCTATGAAAACACTGTGAGAAATGGCCCAATTTAACAATAGAATTTTTCCAGTGTAGAGGAGATTCAGTCTTGGACTGAGTTTACACATCCTGATTGAGCAGTGTGCCACATGGCACTGGGAGCAAACTAGACTGAGATGGGATCAAGGGCTCCAGTTCCAAGGACAGTTGATATCAATTGTGTAAATGAGCAGTTCCTGTTCTTTAGCATCCCTTTTTAGTCATTTGATATATAGCATTGATGTTAGCTTGCAGAAAAGCGTGTACTTGACTTTACTTTGTAAACCAGAGTAGCTGAAAGAGCAAGGTAGCTTGAAGAGAAGACTCTAGAAGTGAAATAGGTAATGAGTTCTGTTTGGCCCCTTGAAGAGCTTAAGCTTCTGCCCCCCTCAAAGGAAAATTTTTGCTGCAGGGAGGGATGATGTGAGCTTATAGCAATGTTCCCCCTCACTCAGAAGCGTAATTACACGGCCGAGTGGCCAGGCCAACTGCCATACGCACGGCTGTTTCCAGTTACCGTCATGCTGTGTGATCATGATGACACAGCTGCAGTACCCCCACTTTTTTCCCCTCCTCTCCCCTCCCTTCCCCAATCACCCTGCCTCAGTTACACCACTACCCTCACTTAGCTGTGTGCATGCAGTCTATCTCTGCAGCTTTTCTGTTGAGAATAAATGTAGCATGAAACTACTCCCTTCCCCAACATGCTTGCAGATCCCCTGACACAGCCAAAGACATAAACCACACAGGTCTGGAAAACAGATTCTCCTTCTTTGTTTAAATGATTGTTCCCTGCCATTGCCAGGCACCAAGCCATGATGAAGGTGAATCAGGCCCATAAAACATTGACAGGGAGATGAGAAGCAGAGTGTGCTCCTTGTCTGAGCAGTGCAGTGTGGCACATGGTTGCTGCAGCATCAGGATACACCTTGTGCTTCCAGTTGTGTAGTGGGTCTCACGCTGTATCCATTTCCATGCACCTTCAGATTTATTTTTGTGAAGTGGTATTTGATAGATCTCAGTTCTGTACGATCTTTAACAGTGAAGCTAACAGATTGTTTTGCTTTAAATCTTTAAAAAATCTATTTGGCAAAGGTTCTTTTTTGGGGAGGGGAGCCCTGTCTTTTTCCTCTGACACATTGGACATATTCTTCTCTTCTTAGGATGCAAACAGATGTCACATTTATGCTGGGACAAGCCATTTTATCCCAGGACAAAGTGCAGTTTTACAGATGCCTCATCCATTGTCCTGGGATAAATTCTAAAAAATCTTCCTGGATAAGAGGTAATAACCATTTATCCCAGGTTCTTACAAAGTATGACTATACAGTTATTCTGGGATTGCATCATTGAATCAATAGCAAAAAAGTGGCACTGTATTCAGGTGCTCACTAAAACCTGGTTAGAAGTGTGATGTGTGTACATACCAATCCCATTTTTGTTCTAGAACAAACACAGGCACAACTTATGCAGAGATAAATGCAATGTCTGTTCCTAGCCTGAGTGAGCATGGCCAAAGTAAAAGGGGAGCAACACTGTGGATAAGCACCTGTCTTTCCCTGACTCTGACATTTTGCTCCAGTGCTTTGCTGGCTGAAATATAATCCATGTCTCGAAGCTCAGATCATCACACAGTCACTTCATTTTGCAGAGGAAAAACACCAATGACTCCTTGACCCAGAGAGCAGGCAATGTGTATTCCAGACCACTCAAGCAAAGGAGAGCAGGCAGGCGTGCTTTAGCAGTCTGTTCTTAACAGACTTGTCCAGCTGATTCACAGATTGCAGTTTGCATTGTTGTCAGTCCCTTGGCCTTGAAGACCACAACTTGTACTCATCCGCTATAATTTGTTCTTTTCAGAATGAAGGAATATTGATATTTCAGTGTCTTTGCTCATCGCTGCCAGACCCCATTTATAATCACTTTGAAACCATTTGTGCCCAATTCTGATCTGATCAAACATTTTTAATATGAACAGCAGATTTGAAATCTCACCAAATGGGAAGAATACTTAAGATATATCCCAATATGTTTGTTAGTTCCTAAATTTTCTTGTCAAATTTACTACATTGCATTAGACACTTTTAATTGACCAGAGGGAGCCCCAAAAGGAATACTATAAAAAGACATTCAGACTTTGAACAAAACCACCATGACCCACACACTGATGCCATGGATAAGGGATTGAAATGGCACTACCCCATAAAGCACTTTCACAGAAGCAACCTCTGTTTTTGGGGGGCTTTCGAGAAATTCAGAGTCACTTCCTGCATCTGCTTATAACAGTTTTCAATACTACTGTTGATTTTTTCCTTAGACCTCAGAGCCCTTCATCATGCAGAACAGAAGAACGGGATGATCTGCAGGGCAAGGCGCTGTCCAGTGCTCCAACAACACTTGTCTCGACCACCAAAGGTGATCTATAGAGAGCAAACTTTGTGGTTGCACATGTGGTCCAGGGTCCTTCAATCTGGCAGAGGTGTTGTTTTTATCTTACTCCTGTCCCTCGTGTCCATGGGTTTCTCTGCTATTGTACTCCTCCTCACTATGTCCAGGCCAGGGAGAAAAGAGCTGAGAGTCAATTGCTTGCAATGAAAGAGAAAGCTCATTTTATTCAATATGAAGCAGCATTGAAGTATTGTGACTAAATCTGCCCTCCCTCTGTGAAAAACTATTAGAATTCTGGATCCTACAGACCTCCTAGACCATGCTCGATGGTACTTAAAATAGAAAAACCTTTATTACGGTGATAAAACAGTTCTCTAGAGGGCTAACAGTAGCTTGGAGCTCTGTGTCTACCTGACTTTATCAGCTACCAGTCCTCTTCAGAGGAGGGATAGAATTACATCACATAGGTTGTAGGTTTAAATGATCCTGACTTCTCTGAGCTTCTCTATATTACAGTGGCAACATATCCCAGCTAGGACAGCAGCAAAAATTCCCTGCTCACCTGTGCCTGTAGTACCCTCCAAACAAGTATACCTGTGAAGACGCTTGGAGGAGTACTTTATCTCCAGCATGCTTGAGAGCAGGCACAGGGGAGAAGCCATGAGCAGCCTTGCCAGCTTATTTCTTTGCCTATGGACGAGAGTGGGTGGAGCACTAGAGCAGCCCTCCCTTCCTTGGAAAAAGGTGTTTAAGAAGAGATTGAACTAATGAGAGAGGCTTTGTTTTCTGATGGAGTGTTACATACTGCTAACAGAGCTGATAAATGCTCTATTACCAAGGCGGGGTGGGGGGGTGGAACCCCTCTCTAATCAAAGCATCTTGTTGGGGCCTGGCCACACCCCCCTCAGCTCAGCATTTGGAAGGGAAAGGAGGGCTGCTCTAGCGCCCCACCCACTCTCTAGTAGCAGAACTTAGGCCTACTGACATTTTGGAAGGAAGCACAGGGAGCAGCTAGTATTAAGTGACTTCTGCATGGCTCCTCTCCCTTCCCAAAGTGTCCTTTTAACTTACAGACGAGGCTCCCAGTTTCTTCAGTCCTGCTTAACAGTTGACCCTGTGCTCCACGGCAGAGTGATGTGGCAACAAGTTATGAAGTAGGAAAACAAAAGCCTGTATGCTGAAAAACTCTTTACTCCTGAGGAGGGTTTATACCAGGGGTGGGCAAAATACAAGCTTCAGGCTGGATTTGGCCCATGGAGGGGCTTTATCTGGCCAACGGCGGGTCCCTCAGTCCTGCCTAGCCCAGGTACCATCCCACTGTGGCACGTCCTACCATCGCCTGGGCACACAGCAGGGCTGGGGTGGCTCTGCAGCTGGACTGCCTTTCTAGGCAGCCCAGGCAACAGCAGCTCCTTCCTGCCACTGCTGCCACTGTCCCCAGCCCCACAGTACCAGTGAGGACCTGCTTGCAGCCCCGACCCACCCCGTGCCTGTTGCAGACTTGCCTATTCACACTGAACAGCTGGAGCAACAGCAGCACCAGCGGGGCAGAAATGTGGTCGGCATGGGGAAAGAGCTGACCCTCCCCCTCCCCACTGCCTAGCACTCCTGTCACCACTGCCTCCGAGCTGCCCAGTGGGACAGCACAGAGGAGCCACAGGGCAGCCCAGCACTGGCTCTGCACAGCTGTTGCAGGAAGCACTGGGCAGCAGTGAGGGGGAGGGGCTGATTCTCCCCCATGCCAAGCACGCTTCTATCTCACCACTGTTGGTGTTGCTGCAGCTGTTCAGCGTGAGCCTGCAGGAGGCGCGTGGTGGATTGGGGCTGCATGCAGGTCCCCACCAGTACCGCAGGGCTGGGGCTATCAGCTGCTGCCACCTGGGCTGCCTAGATAGGCAGTCCAGCACAGAGCCACCCCAGCCCCCACTGCATGGCCCGGGGGCAGCAGGGCGCACCACAGGTGGGCAGTGGGGAGAAGGCGCAGGGGCCGGGTGAAGGCTGTGTGCAGAGTCTGGCTGATCTACTCCTGCCGGGGTGAGTCTGGAGCAGGCACAGGGCGTGCTGGGGCTGCATGCTTTTAACAGTGGCAGGGAGGTGCTGCAGGGTGCATGGGCTCCAGGGCTGTTGCTGGGCAGGTGCTGACCAGCTGCAATCATCTCTGTATACACAATTCAAACACACACAAATCAGAATAAAAATATCTTTTAAAAATAAAATGAAAACAATTTATTGTTGACATTTTATTTTTTGTATATAATTTGGGGTTTTTTCTGGTTCCAAGATGGCAAACCCCTTTCCCAAAAGGAGTACTTCTGGGGGCAAGGGGAGAGACTTCTGGTGGCAAAGGTCAGGGGTTGCGGGTGGGACTTCCAGGCCCAAGATGGCAACCAGGGGGGTAAGGTACCTGTCAAGGGGCGGGGCTACCCTTGCAGCCCTTGACAGCTTACCAAAACTCAATAAGTGGCCCTCCAGCCAAAATAATTGCCCGCCCCTGCACTAGACTCTTAGGCTTTTGGACTTCCAGCTCTTTTCTGTAATCAATCATTAAACAACTTGATCTCCCTAACTGGCCAGGAGGGTGGACTGAGTAGACATCCTATACAGCACATCAGCTGTTTACAGAGTTCTTTTAGAGTACCCTGAAAATATACCCTGACTACAGACAGATCAGGTCATAGGATGAGAAAGTACTTTCATCTCTATTTCCTGGTCTCTTTTCTGAAACTCCCAACAAGGCTCATTTAAATCACTTGTGGTTCTAGACTTTGAGATATGGACATCTGTCCCCCAAAAGTCAACCAAGACCCATGCAACTCATTTAGTTTTAGCCACTGAGCAGCCATCAGATGGTAATTTTCAGATGGCTCACTACTAGCCTTTACCAGATTTGCACCAATAACTTTGAACCACATGACTTTGCCATCCTCTTGCCTGTCCCCTGGACTTTCCTGTTTCCTTACCGACAATGTAAGTCTGTTCTGAAATGAGAGAGAAAGAAAAATTAACCTAGAAGCTTGAGATAGGAAACACAATTCTTAGAGCTTTGCAAGTTTCAGTAAGGATTTGGTTTTGCAAGCTCAAAACCAGTTTAAATCTCATGCTGGGCCTATTATATATGAGGTGTCAAATTCCTGGCATATAAATGGTACAGACACATATCGGGCCCACCCCTATTTTTAAAGAAAAAATAACAGCCTAATTTGGAACATATTGGTGACTGAAATTAACAAGTACGTCAGCGTTGCTTCAATAAAGCTGATATTACTGTAATTGGGACCAGAAGTGCACTCGCATTGCAGACTGTACAGGAGTCTAACTGTCTCCCAGGGAGGCTACCAGAAACTTCAGGGAAGAACCATAATGGTTCCTCTCCCTAGTACATGCTGCCTTCTCCCAGATAAGGTATTCAGCTTCTTTTCCAGGAATCACAATGCATCAACTCATTTCAACAACAAAGTTGGGGTTCAACTTCTTGAGTCCAACAAGCATAGATGGAACATAGAAGGGTGCACTTCAGCAGTCCACATGCCACGATTCAGTAGTGGCCATAAAAAAATGATGAAATTGGCAAAACTTGATTCATTCCATCAGCGGCAGCCAACTCTCATGGACTCCACCCCCAAACTGACAGAGCCACTTCCCCCCAACCATCAGTGAGTGTGGGCCTTATTTTGTATTGTCATTTTCCCTTTTTTTTTTTCCATTTCCCACTTCCATTCTCTCCCTCACTCTTGCTTTTGGTTTCATCAATTCTCTTAGCTCTTTTTTTCTTTGACAATTTAATCTCTTCCTTTCAGTGCAAGGGCATTTTTCTCTTCTCCTACCCATGGCCCTACAAAGCTCTAACACTTCTCATTTCCTTTCTCTGGAGTTGCCTTTCAACCTGGAAGTTAGATATATCAGACATGCTCCATTCACACAATCCCAAATCCACTACTACTCCTTTGGAGAGAGCAGAAGGATTTGCTGTCTCTGACCGTAGTAGAGAGGACTGCTAGGCTCAATGGCAAAACTATAATTACTGTATATACCGGGGCAATTATTAAGTGGAGGCCCACTTAACAAGTTTTGGTGAGTTGTCATGGGCTGCAACGGTAGCCCCGCCTCTTGACAGGTGCCCGGCCCCCCGGTCACCATCTTGGGACCAGAAGTCCTGCCCCTTGGGGTTTGTGGGGAGCTGTATGGGTTTGTGTGGATCTGGGTAGGTGTGTATGGGAGGCTTGTGGAGTGTGTGTGGGTGTGTGTAGGGAGCTGTGGGTGCATGTGTGTGGTGGGGTGTCTGCCGGTAGCAGTGACTGGGGCTCCCCCCAGAGGCCCGCAGGTGTGTGTGTGAAGGGCTATATGTGGGGAGGGGTGTGGGTGGGTGTGGTGTTTGTGTGGTGTGTGATTGTGTGTGAGGGAGGGTGTAGTTGTGGGGTTTGAGGGGGGGAGGGTTTGTAGGTATGGTGGAGTGGGCATGGGAGCCCCCTGCACACACCCCCTGAGCCAGTCAGCATTTGCCCCTGCCCCGCAACAGCCCAGAGCCCACGCACTCTGTGGTGCCTCCCCGCCATTGCCAATAGCGCGCAGCCTGAGCACGCCCCCGCCTGCTCCAGACTCCCCCTGCAGGAGTGGATCAGCCAGACGGCCAATGCAGCCCTCACCTGGCCCTCGTGCCTGCTCTGCACTGGCCACCCATGGTGTCCTGATGGCCCCTGAGCACGCAGTGGGACTGGGGCAGCTCCACACTGGACTGCCTTTCTAGGCAGCACCAGTCACTGGCCCCAGCCCCACAGTACTGGTAGAGACCCGCATGCAGTCTCAACCCGCCCCGTGCCTGCTGCAGACTCACCTGCTCACACTGAACAGCTGCAGCAACAGCAGTGCTGGTGGGGCAGAAGTGTGCTCAGCACAGGGTAAAAGCAGCTTCTCCCCCTCACCGCTGCTTGGCGCTTCCAGCAGCAGCCGTGTGGAGCCCACACTGGGTTGCCCTGAGGCTCCTCTGCGCGGCCCTCCTGGGTAGCCTAGAGGCAGTGGTGTCAGCAGTGGGGCAGCAAGGCAGCCCAGCACAGGCTCTACACAGCTGCTGCAGGAAGTGCCAGGTAGTGGTGAGGGGCAGGGTCCGCTTTTCCCCCGCACCAAGCACACTTCTACCTTGTCAGCACTGCTGTTGCTGCAGCTGTTTAGTGTGAGCAACCCAGTCCATAGCAGGTGTGGGGCGGGGCAGGGCTGCATGTCAGTCTCCACCAGTACAGCAGGGCTGGGGCTAGTGGCAGCAGCAGCAGGAAAGAGCTGCCTCTGCCGCTGCCTGGACTGCCTAGAAAGGCAGTCCAGCTGCAAAGCCACCCCAGCCACACTGTGTACCCAGGGGGCGACAGGACGCACCACGGCAGGACGGTGCCTGGGTCAGGAAGGACCGAGGGACCCGCCATGGGCCAGACAAAGCCCCTCCACAGGCTGGATGCAGCCCATAGGTCGTATTTTGCTCGCTCCTGGTCTAGTGTGAGATGAACCACAGATTCACTCTTTAACCTCGTGGATTGAGCCTTAAATCAAACAAAAGACCTCACAGAAATTGAGTTGGACTTCAGCCAAACTTTATAGAATAAGTGTTTCTTTTTAAAAGAAAATAAAATGATGATTTTGTGAGTAGGTAAGTTTGGGGCAGATCAGAATCAACACTGACCATGAAATATAGCATTACTCTCTAGGGGCACATCCCCACCAGTGGGAACGTATGTTTCTCCAGGGATAAACAGCAGCGGCACAATGTGTGCCACTGTTACTTGTCCCCGGGGAGTGCCCCGTGATCTCCTGGGGTCAACCCCTCCCCCACACGCACACTGTAAATTTGCAGTGCAGAGAACACCAGCATGTGTGACAGGTCTGCAGCGCTGCATTACACATCCATGCTCGTCTGTATACACCTTAGGGTGGTATTCAAGTTGTGCTGGCACCTACAAAGGTAGCATAGACTCTGTTAAAATAACTTGATGCCCTTCTCACCTTTGTTTTGATCTAGGAGATGTCATTTTGGTGGTCTCACCTACTATTCCTCCTCATGCATACGCTGATGCGATTTCAACTTGCACTCAGAGAGGGTTTATTCTGCAGGGAATCAGGCGGCTGCAGCTTTCACTTAAACAAGCCACTGTGCTTAGCATGACAACAAGTCAGGTATGGAACAAGGATTATCAGGACAATTCTTTTCAGATACTAAATATGTAAACTGAGCATTTCCAGTAGTTCTCCAGCTAAAACCTACAATCCTGATTTTTGTGAAGAATTTGAGCCTGATTTTGAGATACGGCTGTTCCAACCCCTGAAGACTGGGCTTTCAGCATAGCCAAAGCATGCTAATATATATTTATTTGGGGCTGATACAATGCGATTGTTGCGATGTCAAATAACAGCATTTGCCTTGCATCATGATGCTGCTACCTGGTAAAACAGGGTCATTATGCAAATATCCCAAAGCCATCACTTTTTCATCCCAGAGGGCAGCGTTTTAAAAATCACAACCCTTAAGGCTTCATGTTACCAATATGACGTTTCATCTTGGAGAGAGAACTTTTTCAACAGCTGATTCCTAATTTGGAATGGCTGTATTGACAAACCCAGTTTAGAATTCAGTCCCAGGTTAAAGTGAGACTTCTGAAAAGAGTACAAATATTCTAATTCATTGGCCTTGCCTTATTTTAAACTGATTATTTCAGTTACTCTTCTGCTGCAATCACAGAGATGGCAAGCTTTAACACTGAGGCTAAAGTTCTCAGCATAACATGTGCTCATAGAAAAGGATGGGAGAACACTGGGATTTTTGCACTGCATCATGTTATTATTCCATCCAAAACCGAATGGGACAATGAATACCACGTGCTTGCTAATGGGAAACTGTTTTCTACAATGATAAGTGTGCTTCAGACTGAAGCTGCAGTGGTAACATTCAGTATTCTTGGGTGAACTCTGTGCTATTGTTTTCTCACCCCAATAATGTGTGAGCTGACACCCCTCCAGTAACTATTCTCAAGGAAACTCATTACCTCTTCACTAGCCAGCCAGGTCTCAGGTTCCCCTACATACCTTTTTTATGAACAGTGTTAGTGGTTGCTCTCAGAGATGATTTTTCCTTGTGCTTGAAAATCCCATTAACCCCCATTGTGTCCACCCCTTTCGGTCCCTGCCAGCAGAGAATGTCCTGCTCCCAGTGAAGTCAAATGTGAGTGTTGCAATTGATTTCAGTGGGAGTAGGATCAGGCCATAATTTTGTGAAAATAAATATGATTTCTAATCAATTACAGTGTCATCATGAGAGAATTCCTCATGACCAGAGGGGTGGCCATACGTGACTACATAGCATTTCAGTTCCTCACAAATATTTATTAAGTTAGTACCCTTATGCATACAAACATTTCCTACAAGTTTGTATTCATATTTATGGTCAGGATGTTCCTAGAAGAGTTCCAGCCAGCCTTTATTCTGATGCTGCTTATACCATTACATTGGTTGTATCTGAATTAAAATGCAGTTGACATTGTGACAGTTATTAGTACAGAATTTTTTTGATCAAAACAAAGATATGCAAGCATTATCTTAATTCTACACACCTTACTCCAACAAAATGCCCAGAAAACCAAATGAGACTTTTGTTTGCTAACAGAGACATCCTGTAGTAAGAATTGGCATGTGTGCCCAAGGGAGCACATGAATTTCCAGAATGTTGTATTTTCTGTTTCACCAAGAAAATGCTGCACAAGGACCCTTTTTTCTACTTGATTTTCTTCAGGTCTCCCTCTGAATAACACTTTACAGAATAAATACAACTCCTTACAAACTGAAAGCTATAGCCCAAATGTCCAAATCTATGCTGAACGTAGGTTCCTAAATCTACAATGGAGTACAAAAGGTCCGCTTTTCAGAGATGAGGATCACTGGCTGCTCCCAGCACTTCAGCACCTCTGAAAACCAGTCCATGTGTATTGAGAAGATTAAATATTAATCTGTGCATTTATCTGGAGGCACTTCAGTTTGAGAATACTGACTTTGTAATTTTAGATGGCTGTATTTTGCCCTAAAAAGATTTCAAGTCCACCTGATAGGAGTTCCTCAAGAGAAGAATTTCCACCTGAACCACGTTTGCACTGTCTGATTTTGCTGCTGAGAAAGGAGAATGTTGGCTATCATGTTCCTGCATTAATAAAAGGTAAAGCCATTATTTCTCAGGTCCCTCAGAGAAAATGGTTAGTATTTGTGCATGCATCATTCTGTATTATTCTTTGAGTAACTGTCCACATATGCATTCAGACGAATGATTGTGTCTCATGCCCTGAGCTTTTGCCTGGAGAATTTTACTTTTGCTATACCTGGAGAGTGCACCCTGGTACCTACATTCCTTGTGGCTTCATGTTGAAGTGATAAAGGGTGTTGCATGCTTCTTGCTTTTCAGTTCCCCTCAGCCACTTGGCTGAAATAGATCTCACTGCCCAGACTTTGCAGCCCTTGTATTTTCTTATTGATGATTGTACCCAATCTCTTCAACTATTGCCTTTGTTTGGCTTATGTTTTTTCTTTATCTATTTTTGCTTCCCTTTGACCCTCCCATGGGAGAGGAATGGATGCTTAACCTTTAGGCTGAGGAGGTGTCTTGGTTCTCCTTAACCCCACTCTTTTGCCAGTGCTCCATTGTTGATGCCATGGGCAGCCACCATCTTGATTCATTATCTTCAGTCCTCAGCATTTTTTTCTTTCTTTTGGTTGTTTGAGAATGACTGGGCTTTTGCCATGTCTACATCTCATTTGTTGGGGTTCAACAACTGTTCCTTTTGAAATAAGGTTATGTTGGCATCTGATGGACACTCTCAGTGCCTCTTCTGCTGTAGCAAGGAATATGTACACAATAAATGTTCCATCTGCTACTTTTTTTAAGATACAGACCCAAAGGGAGAAAGAAGCTAGATTGAAATTATTAATCCTGGGGAAGTCCATGACTGTATCTTTGGACCCAGGTTCCACAAGACCAGTTCCAGTGGTTAAGGCCAACCTTCCTCTCCACTGGTGGCTGTGGCAGAGATGGAAACCTCATGACCCAGTCTGGATCCCACAGGAGCTCACAAGGAACCAGACCATTGTACCAAGCTTCTGTCACCTGTGGCTTTGTACCTGTTGGTCACCTGGTGGAAACTGAAATCCAACAAGTGCTGAGGATTAGCCTGGCATGCAACATCTATATCTCCCTGGCATATTGGTTCTTCCTACTCAACTTTCATCATCGCCTTTTTGTTGAATGTGCTGTCATCCAGCATAGCTGCTTCTCTGGAACCAAGGTGTGTAGGCCCATCTGAACTGTTGAAAAACTCAGCCACCTTTTCCATTCCCTTACTGGTACCACCTTTACCACCTTACTGATACAGGTTCCTCAAGTACTGATGGTAGTTTCCTCAGCAAGTCTAAACTTCAGCATCAAGTCCAAGTCTGGCTATTAACCAGTACTAGGTCCCTCTTTCCATTTGGATCAACCTCCAAGGAAAAGATGCAAGAGCTCCTGACTTTATTTCCAGGATCAGTCTTCTGGCCCCAAAGGGTTTTTCTTAAATACCTGCCCAATTGATCCTACAATTTTTCAACTCCCACACAAAGGTATGGGGCATTAAAGAGAACACCCCCTCATGCTCTTCAGTTACCTCCTCATGAGCACCATTATCTGAAATCACATGAGTTCCCTAGCACATTTGGGTTGTCCAATATCTGAGTCTGTTGTTGCTCTGGCATCCTTTTCTTCCTCCATGACTGTGCATGTCCTGTCACCAGAGGACCCTGGCAGCTTTCAAGAAATGGCAACAGCCCTGCACATTTCCCTGGAGGACATTCTGGTGCTGTTTCGCAATTTATTGGAAATTCTTCAATAGTCAGGGCCTGTGAGAATGGCCTTTCCCTTTAATGAGAATATTTGGAGCCTGCATGAATTAGCTCATGCATATTAGCTTCCTGCCACATCCTCTCTGTCCCCTCCCTCCCCTCCACCCCCGACAAAAAAGTGGGGGATATATATGATCTCTCCCAGTAAGTATGAGTTTTATACTCTTATCCTGTTCCTTCCTCTCTGGGGGTGGTAGTGGTAGCAGTTAACAAAAAGACAGGGGCCTATCTTAAATTATGACAAGCAAAGGCTCTAAAAAAATGGATTTTGTAGGCAGGAGGTATAATCCTCAGCAACCAAGAGCACTCAGGTCCTCTAAGGGAATTGCTCACTTGCCATATTCAGCAGGGTGGTTCTCCAATTACAAGTAGTGAATCCAGGAATGGGACAAGGGGGTTGCAGCCCTCCCATACTTTGGCTGTGCTGTGCCTTGAGCTCTGAGCTCATTGCCTGATCAGTGCAGACTCTTGCGAGCCCTGACCTCACTAGATGACTGGGGCAAGGTCTGACCAGATCCCCTGTTTTCACGGCTCTGGAGCCCAGGGGATGAATGCTGCCCTTCCTTTCTCTCACTCTCCCTGCTGAATTCAGCAGCAGGGGAATGGAGGGGACAAATGGTGGTAGCAATGTTCACCCTCTGGGCTCTGAAGCCACATAGTCAGGAACCCTTAGCATGCATGTCAGAGCCTGGCATGTGAAGCCATTTTGCTCAGCATACCACGCCAGCTGTGTAGCCCAGGCTGCTTGCAGCAGGTGGCCAGGA